CTGATCTTCCAGCGGCGGAGGTTCCTCCTTGGACTGCTTGCCCTTCTTGCCCCTGGACGTCTTGGCTTTCTGCTTCGGGGCGGGCTCCCCTCGGACCGTCGCTTCCGCTTCCATCCGCTGAATGCTTGTTCGGCCGATATTATGGGGGGCTTCCGAGACGCGCCTCGCACCCAACTCCGGAATTATTTTGTGAGCGTATGTTACATCCCGACGAATGGCACCGCCCAACTCTGGACAGTGCGGATCCGTCATCTTCAAGCGGGCCACGGTCAACGATATCTTCGCCGGCACCGCCAAGGACGGCTCCAACAACTGGGTCGCGGCGGACTTGTTCGTGCGGTCCAACGCCGGGGTCACCATCAAGTCGAATGCCGCCGGTACCAATGGGGCGACCGACAACATCTATCTGGACGGCACCACCTTCACCAAGTCGGGCCTGCTGGGAACCACCACCGACGCCCCCAACCTGACCCTCAGCACCGCCTCGGGCGACGTCTACGTCAACCCCGCCACCGGGGGGCTCAAGTCCGCCGCCGCGCTCACCCTCTCGACCGATGCCGGCGGTTTCACGCTGAACACCGCCTCCAAGAGGTTCGCCACCGACTCCAGCATCGTTTCCTCCCACCCGACGACCGTGCTCACCAGCGCCGGCGTGACGACCCGGATCCGGTCCGATGCCAACCAGAACATCCAACTGAGCCCCGGCGTGACTGGCAAGGTCATCATCGATTCCGACCTGGAGTCGACCACGGGAGTGATCGGGGCCCCCACCGCCGACCTCGCCCTCTCCTCGACCTCAGGGGACGTGAACCTGACGGCCGGCGCCGGGAAGAAGATCAACATGCTGTCGGACGTCTACTTCGCCACGGGAGGCCTCTCCACCGGAGGCGGCACCGGGGGGCTCACCTTCTCGACCACCTCGGGCCCCATCAACCTCCAGCCGGCCACGACCCTCAACGTGACGGCCCCCATCATCACCACCGACGGCCACATCACCGGGGACTCGGTAGACCTGGTCCTGGGCACCATCACTTCGGGAGACATCAAGCTCGATCCTGCAGCCGGCGGCGTCGTGTCGACGAACGCGGAGTTCGTCACCAGCCAGGGCACCATCCAGGGCTCGACCTCTCTCACGCTCACCACCGGAACGGGGGCCCTTGCCCTGAACCCCGTCTCCGGCCAGAACGTCACGACCAACGCCCCCATCGTCTCTTCGAACGGCTCCATCCAGGGGTCCACCGGGCTGACCCTCTCGACCGGCTCGGGGGCGCTCGCTCTGGAGCCCTTTGCCGGACAGAGCGTCACGACGAACGCCAAGTTCGTGACCTCCGACGGCCGCATCGAGAGTTCGGCGGCCACCGGCCTCACCGTAACCACCGATGCTGGGGACCTCACGCTGTCTCCCGCGGACAAGATCATCTTCACCAAGCCCGTCCTCACGACCGACGGCCACTTCTCGAGCGCCTCCAACACGAACTTCACCATCACGCCCGGCGCCGGAGCGTCGGTGGTCATCGAGGGCGACCTGCTGGTGACCGGCACTCTGAGCCACGTCAACACCTCTGAGCTCAACGTCGAAGACAAGCGCATCACCCTCGGGGTCGGCTCGAACGACGACGCCCTGGTGACGGGAGCGGTATCTTGTTGGCCGGCGACGACTACTCCACGGAGGCGGAGCGCCTGAGCATCCTCTGGAAGGCCGCCTCGGGAGGAAACAATGCCGTGTGGGAATTCTCGGGCGGAGACCTGAGCATCACCAGGGCCACCACCTCCAACGGCACCATCAAGTACCTGTTCAGCATCGACGACAGCACCACGGACCTCAGCATCATCAAGTTCACCGACTCCGGCTCCGGCTTCGGCTCCGGAGAATTCATCGCAGACTTTGCAGCTGCCTGAGCGTAAGGTGTTCATTTTATTTTCTGCCATGGGAATCATATGAGGGGATGGCCCTGCCGAGAAGCGCGGACCCTCGATCGTTCGGCACCGACTGCTTCCTCCCATCGGGCAGCATCGACCACATCATCATGAAGCAGAACGGCATCAAGGACGCCACCGAGTACCGCATGTTCATCGAGGCACGGGGGCTAGAGCTCTCGCGCGCGATGTGGGCGAACGCGCAGAAGAACAAGATGCGGCCGATGACGTGCGTCGGAAAGTAACGACGAAGCTAACGATTTGCGCACGAGTCCGAGTGCGCACTTCGTTGGGTTGCTCACGAAACGAATGTTATCTTCGCGCACGCTTCGCGTAGGGACGGCGTGGCGGCCGCGAAGAGCTTGAACTGCAGCTTAGTCTCTGCGTTCGCATTCGTGACGATCACCTTGTCGACCAAGGCCTCGTCTGCGTGCCTATCCATCAGCGCATCCAAGATGACCTTCGCTTCGTCGAAGTACGAGAGGATGTTAGCGCCATCTACGACGACGATCACGCGGGATGCGATGCCCTCCTGCTTGGCGCGCCGGATAGCCCCGGGGAGCTCCTCCAGATCTCGCAACACTCGCGCCATCTCATCGGCGTCCGATCGCAGCCAACGCGGGACCACATTGATCTGCGCGAGCTTGCTGTTCCGATTGTACCGGACGGCGATGGTTGCGAGTGACATTCCATCCTTTATGACACGTCCATCATGAAAATATGCACGAGGAAACGCGCTTCGCGGTCGAGTGAGGAGAATTATATATGACGAGGTCAAGGTTCGTATGGAGAAGGGGAACAAATCTTCGGATAAGGGGAACAAGTCTTCGTCCACAGCCAAGCGCTCCCTAGATGCCTCCTACGCTAAGTGGGACGCCTACTTCCGGTCCGACTCTAAGCAGATGGCCAAGGACCTGAACGTGACCTTCGGGAAGCCGCTGACGGAAGAGGAGTTTCTGAAGCTGAAGCACGGCTCCCAAGAGAAGTTCACTGTTCTCGGTCGTTAGAGGTCTCCTCTTGCGGCGCAATCTCCCCTTCCTCGTACTGCACGTCCTCCGCCGCCGGGCTCGTCGCGTCGTCCATCGCATCGTCGTCGCCGCCCGGAGCAGACGGGGCCGAGGGGCTCTCGCTCACGTCGATGACGCAGCCCCTGATGTTGGTCGAGGGGAAGCGGACCGCCTGCTGCATCTTCAGGGTCATGCCCACATTCTTGCCGGCGAGGTACACCGTGCCGGGGGTGATGAGAGCGATGACGGAGTCCCCCTTGGCGACGTCGCGGGCGTCTATACGCTCCTTCCTGGTGTTGAAGACGTCCGAGAGCTCCCTGGTCTTGCTTCCGTCCTTCTGGGTCATCACGCGCTCCGTGATCTTGAGGTGGAGGGTGGGAGCGTACTCCGCCTTCTTGGAGGGCGTGATGAGCGGCCTGAAGAGCTCGCCGACGAACTCTCGGGAGTAGTTCTTGGTGGGGAACCACAGCGCGCAGCTCTGGTGGAGCAGGTCGATCATCCTCTCGTTGATCTCCTCCATCTTGTCGTAGAAGTCGGCCACGTCCTGATTGGTCTCCTTGTGGCGGAAGGATAGGCTCAGGCTCCACTTCGTGCCGACGTTCTTGTCCTTGTCGGTGAATTCCGAGATGCCGAAGGGGCACGGCATCTTGGGCGACTTGAAGATGAGAGGCCCACCGCCCCGGCCGTAGGTCACGTTGGCCAGGAGACCGCCGGACGCATTCCGCTTCGGTTCCGAGATCTGGATCTGGTTGACGTCGATGTCTCTGAATGGGGTGATGACCGCCATGTTCGCGCGAGGGTGTGTGCGAGGGACGCGAGGAGGTTGCGGGAGGTGTGTCGTGGAGAGAAGCTTTCTGGGAATGACGAGATCGGAGGGCGGGTGCCCGCTTTTATACCGCAGCAGGGTCGGACTCTTCGTCGTAGAGTCCGAAGATGCGTTCGTAGGCCCTGATATTTATCGTCGCCTAGGTCACGACTTGGGCGAGGATGGGCGAGAAGACGCATGTGCCGAGCCTAGGCTACAAGATCTTCCGGCATAAGGACGCTCTCGACCCTTCGAAGCTCACCTTCGAGCCACGGAGGTCGAACAAGGATGCTCTCAAAGTGCGCTACGGGGGCGACGCCGTGTACGTCCAGACGAACTCCTGCTTCCTTAAGACGTGTCTCGTGTACGACGGTGAGGTGCAGAAGACCGTCGACCTGGAGATGTTCGAGATGCGCAGCGACAAGCACAAGGAGGTGGTGCACAAACTGCGCTCCATCGAGGAGGCCGCGGAGGCGCACCTGAGGACCCTGATGGACGCTCCCGGCGAGACGGCCCTTCTCAAGAGCTCGCTCCGCACCCTCCAGAGGAGCGCCAAAGGCTCCCAGCCCACGTTCCGGGTGTCCGGGGAGAACCTATCGCTGGAGGACATCCAGACGACCGAGGCAAGGAACGACGTAGAGCCAGGCACCCCAGTCCTGGTCATGCTGGAGTTGGCCGGGTTGAGGCGGAACGCTGAGGGCAGAGGGGTCCTCTCGTGGTCCCTCTACCAAGTCAAGGTGCTCCAGGACCCCGAGAAGGGCGACGATGTGCACGGGCGACCGCCCAAGGCGGAGTGGGGCGAGGAAGACGTCAGCTGATCGCGAGGACGGGATTTTTTTTGTGTCATACCCTATAAGATCGCGCCTCCGACATGGACCAGACGTTCCTGTTCGTCTTTCTCGCCGCTGTGATCCTGTACTTCGTTTCCACCACGGCCTTCGCGTTGCCCCAGCAGAGCGGCGGATACGTCACGGATGCCGAGGAGCTCGAAGGGTTCCAGACGGTGACGGACCCCTCGAGGGGACTCCCGAATGGCCCCCAGGACTGGAGCGCGTTCGCCCCTCAGGTCTCCCCCGATCTCGAGGGAGTCAAGCTCCTCGACCCCATCCAGTTCATAGGCACCAGCACATCCGGCGTCAAGAAGAACAACAGCTTAGACATCAGGCAGGCCATCGTCATACCGAAGCAGAGCTTCCCTTGGAACAATTCGAGCCTGCAGCCGACCGACTTCAGGAGGAACCAGTCGATCGACACGATCTAGTGCGCTCGGCGTTCGCAAGTAGCAACCGCACCGCGATGACTAATTTTCTGCTCTTCTTTTCAGTCTGGCGATGGAGGAACATCACCATCGCGGCGCGTTCGTGCTACTTACGACCATCCTCGTATTGCTGGCTTTCTACATGCGCCCGAGAGCATACGAAGAACCGTGCCCGGGCTGGCCCGGCAGCGAAGACTCTGGCTCGGACTCCGATGGGCTGACCGGAAATACTCGCGTATACTCAAAAAGAAGAGCTTGAGATGGGGCGTCGGGCGGACGACATGAGGGCTACGTACGTAGAGCCGGGAGCCCAGCATACCGTCGTGGTGCTGGGCCACGGATTCGGATGTGATTCCACGTGCTGGCACAATCTGAGGCCCTTGCTCTCCAGGAGGGGCTATGGCGTCCTCACGTACGATCTGCCATGCGCTCGCACATCCCCGCAAGGCGCATTCGATGAATCTCCCAACCGCAGAAACGTAGTCCGGGCGGCGTTCGAGAGGTTCATTGCTTCCCAGAAAGGCAAACAGTCGGCGTCGCGCTTCGTCGAGAGCTTCGATTTCGAACGGTACTCCACGTTGGACTCGTACGCGCACGACCTGGTCGCCCTCCTCACCGAGATGGGACTCCGGAGTTGCATCTTCGTCGGGCACTCCGCCTCGGGCATGATAGGGCTCTTGGCCAGCACGATGCGACCCGAGCTCTTTCGCAAGGTCATAATGCTCGCGTCGTCGCCCCGCTACATGAACGACCCCGCTTCCGACTACGTGGGCGGCTTCGAACGGGAGCAGCTCACGGAACTCTTCGAGAACGTCGAACATAATTACGAGGGCTGGGTCTCCGGCTTCGCCCCCATGGCGATCGAAGAACCCAACGACGCCGCCGTCAAGCAATTCACAGCGGGTCTCCTCGCCGTGCGGCCGGATGTAGCTCTCGCGATGTGCAAGACCATATTCCTCATGGACCTACGCCACATCCTTCCGCGAGTCAGCGTCAACTGCGTGATCCTGCAGAGCAGATCGGACGTGGCCGTGCCGGTCTCCGTGGGCGCATACATGGCCGACGCCATCAGGGGCGCCGAGAAGGACATACTCCCCACGGCCGGGCACCTGCCGCACCTCAGTTCGCCCTTGCTCGTGAATGCCAGCCTGTTGAAACACATAGACAATACGCCAAAGACTCGGCAACCTGAAGGACCGAAGGGCCACCGGACGCCTCATTCCCACAAACTACTTTCGAGATGTCTCGCATTGCCGGCTTCTTGAGCCGCCTGGACTCGGTGGTGGGGCTGCCCGCTTACGACGGCCCACCTTCCTTCGTCGACGACGCTTGCTCTCAGGGCGACGATGACGACGACTTTGCGCAACACATCGGAAAGCTGAGCGTCCGAACGAGCGACTCGTACAAGTGCTATGCCGTCGAACGGGCGCACATCCTCCGCTCGGCCTGTTCACACCTGCACAGCATCTTGGACTCCAAGACTTTCTCCGATTCCATCTTGCAGCGCTTGGACCTCCTTTCCGTCATCCTGTGCGCCACAGTGGAGCGCCACGAGAAAGACTGGAGCGACGCCGAGAGCTTGAGGCTCAGCTCGCGCAATACCGTAGACGAGTTGATGTCCTCCGGGCTCAGCATGGAAGAGATCCACGGGGACGAGAAGCTCGAGGAGGAGCTGAGGACGCTGCGCGGATTCGCGGCCGGCAAGTTCGAGTCGGAATCGGTTTGGAAGGTGATGGCTGCCGTCCTTCGCGCTTACCTAGACTCCGCGAGGGCGTTCGCTTACCACATGTACCTCGAGCAGATCCTCTCGACCGACCTCCGCCATCAGGAGATCGGACGACGTCTGGCGGCTCGCTTCAAGCTCACGGACTACGAGGTCCTCAGGGAGGACTTGGAGATCATCATGCACCACTGTAAGACGTTGACGTACCTAGACCTCTCGTGCCTTCCGGTAGGTCTGAATACCGCTCGCTGGCGGGAGATAGTTCGCGACATCCTGCACGGGCTGTCGGGAAGCATCTACCTCGGAAACGGAGTGGTTTTTCAGGTCTCCAGCGGAGAGGCCTCCACCGCGACCGCAGCGACGAGGACGGAGGAGACGGGCGTGGCGAAGCACACGTTCGAGCTGGTCTTTCACGTGGACGGTCCGAACGAGATGCGTATCAGGAGAGACGCATGTCCGGCGATCACAGATCTCTTTCGCTCGCACGCTCATGCCGTGGACTGCGGAGACTGGTATGCGAACGAGACGCGCATCAAGCAGCGGATCCGGGCGGACGTGAGGAAACACTCGAGAGGCTGCCGCGACATCGTCGTATCCGTCGGCGGCAAGGAAAAGGACATCATCATACTGTTCATGGTGCAATTTCGAGAAGAGGACACGGGGTACATCATCGAATACGGCTTTCAAGACCCGCTAGGACAGAGGAGAAACGTAGTTCGCTGGCCGAGTAGGTCCTTTCTAGATCTGTGGCTCGGAACACTCATTGCCTAAATCGCAACCGTATGAACCTATTGCCTTCGAGAGCGTAGACGGCGAAAGGTGTGCAGCTCTCGCTATTTGAGTCTTGGTCCACCCGCTCGTTCCGTCTTCGAATTTGGTCATGGACACGGCGACCGCCGCTATCGTGCTCGGAGTCCTTCCGCCCAATATAGCAGAGTCCTCGATGATGTTCGCCATGCGTCGCGCCCTCATGATGAGTCTCCTCCGATCCGCCATCGGGATCGCGACCGGCCCGTCGCCGCAGAGGGCGGTGATGATCCGAGGCACGATG